CTGAGTTTGCTTAGATAAAAGTCTTGTCACTTAACAGAAATAATATACAGTAAAAAATATAAAGTCATGTTGCAGTGGGAAAAGAATTAATATGCATATGCATATTAATATGCATCCACATATACTGCATCCATACATCTCTGCAATGACTCTTATTGACTCTTTACTTATTAATAAAGTCAACTGGGATGGCAAAAAAGCGTTCTTGCACGACTCCCAGAGTTCATCAATATTCTTTGGATTCATCTTCATGCCTCCTTCTTCATCTACTCCAGACATACTCAATAATGTTCATATCTGGTGACTGAGATGGCCAATCCTGGAGCACCTTGACCTTCTTTGCTTTCAGGAATTTTGATGTGGGGGCTGAAATATAAGGAGGAGCACTATCCTGCTGAATAATCTGCCCTCTCCTGTCGTTTGTAATGTAATGGGCAGCACAAATGTCTTGATACTTCAGGCTGTTGATGTTGCCATCCACTTTGCAGATCTCTCGCATGCCCCCATATTGAATGTAACCCCAAACCATGATTTCCTTTAACAAACTTGACTGATTTCTGTGAGAATCTTGGGTCCGTGCGGGTTCCAATTGATCATCTGAGGTATTTGTGATGATTGGAAAGCAGTTCATCAGATGATTCATCGGAAAAAATTGCTTTCTGACACATTTTCAAATGATCAACTAGAAGTCAAGTTATTCTTTATTGCTCTTACAACTGGGATCGACAACAAGACTTTTGTCAGGTGGTGTATTCCTAGAGTTTTAAATATTTATGAGTTTCTTTCTTCCGTTGAACACAAAAGAATATCTTTGAAGAACACGTGTTCTTGGCACCCATTCAATCCATAATAGCAAAAAATACTTGTAATTATGTTTTGTGTGTGTGTGTGTGTGTGTGTGTGTGTGTGTGTGTGTGTGTGTGTGTGTGTGTGTGTGTGTGTGTGTGTGTGTGTGTGTGTGTGTGTGTGTGTGTGTGTGTGTGTGTGTGTGTGTGTGTGTGTTTTCATTAAATATTTAGTTAAAGTTTGCTGGGCTATTTAGGGTTTTTACAGTATATCTCTTTTTATTTGAGTTTTAGTTGGTCTACTTGATATTTTTATTGTCAGAGAAGGAATTTCATTCCAGAGCGGAAGCACATTCTCAAATTTTGAATAAAAATTACTAAAACAATTAACCCTTACTGATTAACCTTAAAATACTGGTAGCATTTTTGTTTAAGGACCAATTCCTACTAGCCGGCTGGCCAGTTGGCATTTCTGTGTGGAATGCATATTCTCCCTGTGTTCGTGTGGGTTTCCATCAGGTGCTTCTGTTTTCCCCACAGGCCATAGACAAGCGCTGTAGGTGAATTGGGTAAACAAAACTTGCCATAGTGTATGAGTCTGTATGTGAATATGAGAATGTATGGCTGTTCCCCAGTACTGGGCTGTGGCTGGAAGGGCGTAAACCATATGCATAGTTGGTGGTTCATTCCGCTGTGGTGACCCCTGATAAATAAGGGACTAAGCCGAAGGAAAATGAATGAATAAATGAACTACTGGCTTATTACCTGACTATTAATAAGACATTGACTGCTTTTATTTATAAAGTATGATCTTATTCTACATCCCTAATCCCACCTAAACCCAACCACTGACTAAAATATCAAACTAAGCAAAGAAAGTAAATTGTGTCCACTTTTATTTTATGACAACCACAATAGCAAGTTACTAGAAAGCATTTATATAATTTAGAAATACACTGCTGAAAATTACAGTATACTACTGTAGATCAGCAAAGCATCTCAGATGTGTGCTGTGAAGGGTGTCCTTAACAAAGTGCTCTGGCTCTCAAAAAGTTCAGTCAAGCAGTGGGAGATAATGAGTCTTCAACTTTGACCTTTGACTAGTTGGTCTCTCTCTTTCTCTCTCTCTCTCTCTCTCTCTCTCTCTTTCTCTCTCTCTCTCTCTCTCTCTCTCTGTGTGTGTATGTGGAGTTGCTGGGGGAAAGAGAGGGAGGCTCATCCAATTACTGTAATTGGCCACTTAGTGAAGCTGTTGCCCATCATAAAACACGGAGGGCCATTTATCTCCTCAACAAAAGACGTGTCATTGAACAAAATAACATCTCATCAACTTTCAGTCGCACAACATTCTTTGAAAACCCTCATCACAAATACAGTCTCTGAGGGAGTCATGCCATGAAGGCTTTTGAAAAGCAGATCTCGCTCTTACAGCAGAGCTATTCAACTGAATATGAGCCATAATGAAGGGACGCCGGGGACTTGTGACCTGAATCGATTGGTAGGTGACTTCAGTAAATGCTCCCGTCACTTCTGATTTTATAAAACATAGCAGTGATGTGTGAGATTTTCTGGCTTTTGTGTAAAAAAGCATTTTGTGTTAACGTTTAAAAATAATCTAATCAATCTACGTCAAATTAAAGTGTTTCAGTGCACTCAGTTTGATGACTAATGCAATGAGAAAGTAATTTTTGTTTGATTAATCAAAGCCCCAAATGAGATTTCCAAATGTCCTAGATGGCTGAGAGCCGAATGATTGCTTGCGTGGCTGTGTAAGTCTCCTCTTGCCATCAATATTCATGCGCAATGATTCATTATTCAGATTGCTGAGCACAGAGAGTTCAGAGGCATGTTGATACAGATTTGAGACATTCATAAGTGCTGCACACCTGCAGGGACTCCACTAAAGACTGAGATTTAACCAGAACTTGATGCTGCTGAGGCCATGAAGTGCTCTTATGGACACTGTGGAAAGCAAAGGAATAAAAACAACATAAATATATCTTAGAATAAAATATATATGTTTAAGATTGCTAGCTTGCCAGTGGTGGAAAGAGTACTGAAAAATCATACTCAAGTAAAAGTACCATTACTTGCCCAAAAATGTAGTGCGAGTAGAGTAAAAGTTTCTTTTGTAAATATTACTCAAACTATGAGTAAACAGTTGCCCTTTTAAAAGTACTCAAGAGTGATGAGTAGTGAGTATTAGGTTTTGAAAAGTTTGCATGCAGTTTGTGCAGATAAGTGTAAACGTAACATTCTGTAGTGCATTTTGTGATCTTACCATATTCACTCCTTCCTTTGATTGTTTGCTTATTCTGTCCTTTATTCATTTGTTCAATCGTTTCTCCATTCATTTCATCCTTAATTCATTCCTTTCTTCATTTGTTTGCTAATTCATTCATTCGTTCATTCTTTTGTTCCTTCATTTGGTCCTTTGTTCATTCATTCCTCCGTTCCTTCCTTCCTTCCTTTGTTCAGTCTTTCCTTGAATCCTTCATTTATTTGGTCCTTCCTTTCTTCATTAGTTTGGTCCTTCCTTCATTCGTTTTTTCCTTCCATTCCTAGTTCCGCCCTTACTTCCATTCTTTATTGTGATTTCAGTCATCATATAGGCGACATCCTTCATTTTTCTCATAATTGACATGCAGTCTATAAACAGTCTCTTGGTCAGTGCATGTGATGATTTTGGACATCTTCTTGGACATTTTTATTGCTTGAGGTCTTGAGGTTGTTCAGCATGATGCAATTTACTTTCTGTGTGCGAATTGATTGGACTGGAATCGTGGGGCTGAATTCTCTACTTTAGCCAATCACCATAGACAAGAAAGATATAAAGTAGTGACTGCAGGTTAAAGAAAAATAGTGGAGTAAAAGTACCGATACAGCACAAAAAAATTTACTCAAGGAAAAGTAAAACTACTTATCAAATTGCAGTAATTGGAGTATTTGTAATTTATTACTTTTACACCATTGGTTTTATAAAATGGGAGTCATGAGCCCCGAGGGGTCACGGGACAACGAAGGGGGGTTGCCTGGTGATTTCCAAAAATCTATTTATTTTTATTAAACCATAAGAATTACCATATTTTATCCATAACCTACTGTTACTTTATACTATATAGTTACTATTGTAGCTTAAAGTTACTAGGTCTACTGGATTGCGACCCAGCAATAGCGTCAGATACAGCAGAGTGACTTTATAATGCCAGGTTGAACTTTCTGGCACATTTACAGCACTGAAATACATACAAAAAAAGTTAAATGAAGAATAGACTTGGGTCTATTGGAGTGTGTGCGCCATTTCATGCAATGTTTTTATATTTATAACCACCTCAGAGGAAATTGGGGGTCACAAGTCACTGGCATTGTTATTTTGGGGGTCGTGGGCTGAAAAAGTTTGGGAACCCCTGCTTTACACCACTGCAGCTAGCTTAACAAAAATCATGTACATGTACGAATTTGGTTTATTGGCATTTCAGTACCTTTAACCGTTTTGTACCCTGTGTATATTTCAATGTTGGTCACATGTCAGGTCATTTTTTATTTCTTTATTTTTTTGCTTCTGAAGCATTTCACCTAATTTAAAGCCTGCTGTCCATGATATAATATGGCTCCACCTGTTGCAATCTGAAATATATCAATTACGCTGAAGAGAAGAATGGCAGCACTGTTCCAAACACAGAGGAAACCATTTTCAATGGTTTTATTCAAATTTATTGATGTTTGACAATGTTTCATAGAATGAATGGAAAAAAGAAGGATTGCATTTAGTAATTAAAGTAAAAAAAAAAAAAAAGTTTTTTAACGGTGTATTCGGTTCTCAAGAGGTTAATGATTCTGGAGGTTGAAATGCAGTTTTTGTTTACAATATTGTTCATTTTGACAAATGGTATTGTAATCTCCACATTTGAACAGTATGTTAACTGCATCATTGTAACATCACCCAAAGTTTATTGTGCATCTCTTAAATTTAAAATTTTTATTTTTTTTTACAAAATTGCAGCTTATTTTATTTTGCATGAGTGGGTTCTGTTTTGTTTTGTGGGTTTTGGGTTTCTCTCATTATACTGACTATACACACTGTTGCTCGGCTACAATCCATTTTTTGTGTTTAATTTAAGAGGTTAAGGTTTAATGTTACACTATGCCAAAATGCCAAATATTGTTACAGTATGACTTTCATTTCTGACACTTTTTTTCTCTAATCTCTTTTAGTCAGACACAGAGTTTTGGGATAAGATGCAGGCAGAATGGGAAGAACTTGCTCGCAGAAACTGGCTTACAGAAAATGAGCAGCCACAGATTCCCTCCAATGTGTCTCCTTACGAAAAGGTAAGGAATATTAATATTGTGTTAAGCTAGTAAAATAAATAGAATGTAAATTTTAAGGTGAAATAACCTTTTCACTATTTCCTTCTTAGGGCTATTACTTCCACACAGATAACCCTTTCAAAGACTGGCCAAATGCTTTTGAGGAGGGATTGCGCAAGTCGAGAGAAGGAGAGCTGCCGAACGCTGTGCTTCTTCTGGAAGCTGCCGTTCTGCAGGACCCTCAGGATTCAGAGGTGAGCGAGCCGAGCGGCTTTAGAAAACAACAGTAAACCTGCTACTTCCATCAAATCAGCGTCTGCACAGCTTGAAAACAGAAAGCTACATGTTCTGCCAATCAGACCACCGTCACACCTTTCCTGCACACAGTGATAAGTGGTAGTTTGCTTGTTGCCCACATTGAACATTTTACAGATCTTGGCATGATTAGCCGAGGCAGGGGCTTTCTGTTCTCTCTCGTTTTCACTAAGAGCTCTGGATTAGACATCCTACATGACAGTGACTGATGGCAAACCATTAACACTCCAGTAAATGAGTATGGTTGCTTTTTTTCAGATGATTTAATGATGTAATAGTTCAGTTACATCCCAGAGAGGATTATCCCTCTTCTCGTGGAATTATCTCACAACGAAATGATTGTGTCTCCAAAATAGCTGAATGTCAAAAGATGATATTACAACGCAAATAGCAGGGAGATTTTGCGTCGGAAATATCATGAGTACACTACACTGGTTGAGTTAAAGGTGCTGAAGAATGAAAATCTATATATACTTATGCATAGCTGACTAATATATTCAGTTCAGTTTATGGAAATGACATACTGTGAGGCTCAAACATTTTAACTTTTGAAATGAGTATTTTGGTAGTTTAAAGTATATATATTGTTAAATTTACTGTGTACTTTTATAATAAGTCGATGTGTACAGTATGTTTGTAATGTGTATGAGTGTGAGTGTCAGGCAATGACATGAGCTGCTTGGGCATCTAAGTAGAGCTCATTAATATTCATGACTCTTCCAAATATGGTTAAAGTCAAGTATATCATATTAGGGTCAATTCCTACACTGTAAAAAAATATCTGTTAATTAACAGTTTCCGTATTTGGTATTTTTTGTTTATTTATAGTTTTGAATTGCATGTTGGGATGTTGATCTCTGCTCTGTTGACTTTTAATTTTGAAAATTTAACTCTACAGTTTAACAAAGTGACTTTTAGTGACGTTTTCATACTTTGAAATAATATATTGTATGATAAAAACAGGAAATGTCCTGAAAGTTTATTACAAGGCTTTTGTACTGTAATATCAATCCAGACAATATCCCCTTCAGACCTGAATTATATTCCAAGTATCTAAAAAATGTAAAATTATATTTTCATAGTTCTTGAGACTCCTATAAATGAGACCAAATTATAACAACAAAAATTCCACAATCTTTAAGTATATATGTTTTTGTCCATTTCAATGAATATCAGGTCAGAATAGCTGTACATCTTGAACATTAAACTAACATAAAATACAAAAAAGAAAACATATATAATTGCTGGTATAATCTTGAAAATTATTTTCAAAATCACGAACAATATAACATTTTTACTTCAATTTTGAGGTTTTTGTCGTATAGGTTGCCCCTTGTTTAAAACAAACTTTATCTTCATCTTCCTCATCACTCCACTTAATGTCTACATCTGAGATATTTCCATATGCCATATGCTCAAGAACTTTAAGATCTGTATATTCTGCATATGAAATTGTTTCAGCAATGAATTAGTACATTGATATAGTTTTTTAAATATATATATATATATATATATATATATATATATATATATATATATATATATATATATATATATATATATGAATAAATTTTAATCAGCATTCCTGGAGATATAATGTTTGTAACAGATCTTGAACACATTCTTAATGGACAGACATATTTGAAAAAATCCTGATCTAAAGCTTGCATTTTTAAAAATATTTTAAACTTTAATTAGTGGGTGCAATCCCTCTTTTCTACATACAATCTATGAAATATTGGCAAATATATCAATAAATCTGAATAAAAACATTGTAAATATGGCTTATGTCTGTGTCTGGAGTGAAGTGACGCCATGCTGGTTTCAGTGTTGTGGATTTTTTACCGCCATTTGTTTGGATGACTATTCTCCACTCTCATAGACTGTAGGCTTTGAGATTGTAGGCACTATTGGCTGACATGTGATGTCCATTGTAATGGACTCAGGGTCTAAATAGGATATACCACTTTAAATTATTAAAAATGTTTCTAAAAGTTTTAAACTTTTGTAAGGTTAAATGTTGTTGGAAGAAAGATCAAGCTCCCATAATGCAATTCAAAAGGTTAAATAAAAAAATAAAAATAAAAAATGAACCACAAAAAGGTGTAGAGTTGAAACTGGACCTGTTAAACTATTTCTGTATCATTTTTGAACATGCTTATATGCCACTAACCTTCAATTTAGATATAAGAGAGCAATTTACCATATTGTATCAATGCATTCTATGGCACCTTTAAGAGCCAAACTAACCATGTTGTGAAATTCTATTTATAAGGCTCATTAATACATTTCCCATTGTATTCACAAACTGTAGCCTTGTCATGAGGGTTTCGCCAAGCAGTTTCCTCCCACACAAAGTTAAGAAGCCTATCCTCTAATAATTAGTCTTGCTCAGTGTTCATAACCCTTCAAATGTTTCATCTTAGAATAAATACTCAGTCTCACACTTAATGCAAGACACTGCTTGTGGACAGGGTATCGTTGTGTGTAGCTCGTGTATAGTTAGCACTATACTTTGTTATGTTATATTGTGCAAATGAGACATTGTTTAATAAATATTGAAGACTAGTTTATTGTTCCTTTTCTATTTGTTTTGTATGTTTGTTTTTATGAAGAGATTCTTCAGGTATCTCTTTTTGACACTTAGCAAATTCAGAAAATACTGTGAACATCCACAAACTAATAATAATTTTATTGAAAACTAATGTCCAGTATTTAAATAACTTGTTAGTTTGTCTGTGAAATAGACCCTGTATTGTAATTGAAATCTTACACAGGCTAAAAAAAAAAACAACAGAGACACGTTTTTAAGTTACTTTACTTTAAAAAGTGACATGTTGATTTCAGCTTATTTTATGATTATGGACTTGATAGTTTATTTACTTAATAATTTTAAGGCAACAGGGTTATTCAGTTTTCCATGTAAAATAAATAAATTGCAATGGTCCCACCTTAAACCAGCATTCCAAACTTCAGATATTTGTGAAGAGGCACTGTATAAGTACACGCAATGTGTCATCATCTCAAGAAGTGGCAGCACTAGTCCATTGAGCTCCTCGCTAACATTGTGTTCTCTGTCTAAGCCACGGGTCTTTAAGAGTGAATCATTTCCCCCAGGTTAGCACTGAAGCTCCTGCACAATAGCAGCTCTTCACCGGAGTCAAGGTGATAACCCCAATGCTCATTGTTCAATACCTGTTTTCTTTTCAGGCTTGGCTGGTGCTGGGAACCACACAAGCAGAGAATGAGAATGAGCAGGCAGCAATTGTCTCCCTCCAGAGGTAACGAAGTATGCCCGCATGAATCATATGCAAATGGTGTTTTTACATAGAGCCAAACCACTTATGAAGTCTAAGTGAATAAGTCTAAGTGAACACTTTGAGAGTGTTGGTAACTTTTCAGACCCAGCAATGTGTTCAAATGATGTCAAATAGGCGTTTAAACATAGTCATCTTAAACAAGGCTTAAACGAGATTAGACACAAATGACTGTTTGGTGGCTAGTCTTTTTTTTTTTTTTTTTTTAGCCTTTTATTTGTCCAGACATGGTTTGGATGTCCTTTTTTTTTTAAACACACAAAGAATCAAGTTTTTTTCCAAACTCAGAAAAAAATTGTGTATTTTGTTGATCATAAAAAATTGCATATAATTACTACTACAACACTAAGATCAATCATAATCAGTAATTTATTGCAAACAGTATCAAGAGCAGTAATTATTTTTGTTACAATATTTCAAACCTGTTAAGTTGAAAAGAATTTAAAATCTAATATATTTATATATACACACACAACAGTTCTGTCTGGTTCTTGAATCTGATTGTCTAATAGACGTGCGATATTTTGCCAGTAACATCACACAAAGCCCTCTTCACCCTTCACTGTGTATTACTCTGCCCACACACAGCCAGCAACAAGCAGAGACGCTGCAGTTTGACAAATATTACTGTTGTTAGACAACAAAATGTACTTTTGAGGCTTTTTTAGACGAGAATGTAGTTGTTTAGATTGCAACTATGCAGTTTATATGTAAGAATATTGCCTATTGTAAAATATTTACAATTTCTGAGAGACAGCTCGTCGGCGGCCAAAGACGGTTGACGTTGTCTATCCACAAGATGGCGCCAGGACTGCATAATAAGCCCTTGCATAGAGTGTTTTTCTGAGCGCGAATAACAAGCAGAAAAACGGACGCGTCATGGTTTAAGGTAGACTGGATAGTCAATAAGAAGCTTCGAATAAGAATCTGGATTCAACCTTGTTCCTCATTATCGCAAACAAAACAGCAGTCTGGTAAGTTAGTGATTGCTCTGTTTTTTTCTAGGTTAATTATTGTGATATTGTAACGGTCGCTTAATGTGTAATATGCATTGTGTATAAAATGCCCCCCTAAAGACGACTATTTCTGTGTTTGTGTTACCTTTGAGATGTAAGCACGCATGTGAAAAGCCATCAGTCTACAGAGATTTCCCAGTATTTTCCTGTTGCAATCAGGATATCACAATAATTAACCCCGAAAAAGCCAAAGCAGAGCCAACACTACCAGATTCTGTTGTATAAATACAGCACTACAAAATACAAAAGAGAGAGATCAACTTAAAATGTCACTTTCCTGATTTATAATGATTTATTGAGCTGTAAAACATTAAAAATGTTAAGAAAATGCAGATTTTATTCTCTATAAGGACTTTTTATGCAGACCATCTTGTGGCGGAGCGTTAACCATCACTTTCTTTGGTCTGCTTAACCAGGCTGATGGCGGACGATGTAATGAATCTAGATATTTTAAAATAGGCACTATTCATATAAATAAAGTGCATAGTTGCAATCTAAACAACTACTTTCTCGCCTAAAAAAGCCTCGAAAGTACATTATGTTGTCCAGTAATCCTCAAGGGTGAAGGGTGAAGAGGCTGGACGAGTGCTGTTATTTGCATAATATCTTGCGGCTATCAGCCAATCAGATTCAAGAAACAGATAGAACTGTTGTTTAAATATTTATATTGTTCTTAGAGTATGAGAATAGTTGAATATAAAGTATATAACACAAATATTTTATTTCCAAGATTTTTATTTATTTTATAATGATCATGTATAAGCATTTATTATGAGCATGTTGGTACAACAACAACTGAAAAATCAAATGGAGTAGACCGAGTAGCATTCTGTGAAGCAATCCATAAGCAAAGCTTCTAAATTGTTTATTTGTGCATCTTCAGTGGCGATTCTATAATATTTCAAAAAGAGATAATGCACCAAAGTGAAAGTGAGGATTACAGAAAAATTCTGTCACTGGTCAAAATTGAAGGTTTAACATTATAAACAATACTGATATATTTTATGTGTTTTTATAACCCTTAAGGTTATGCACTAAATCAGATGTAACCTAACGATAATGAACCTAAAATACTCATCATCATCAATGTCAAGTCAAGATTAAGGTTAATTAAAAATGAATCCCTTCTGAACAGACATGGTATGCTGAGTAATGAAAGCAACATTTCCACATGTTTTTGTGAGTGTTTAACACAGAGAGGAATGTCAGACAGGCCTTGAATCGAACACCTCCATGTGGTTATCAGCGACACCAAATGAGACAAAGCTCTCTGCCATGCCCTCTCCTGCTCCAGATAAAGCACTACTGTAATAACCCGGTGATCCAATTAAAACTGCATTTCATAAGCACAGAGGCCTTTGGGAGATTACAGTCATTTTGGATAGAACAGACCAGCCATAATCTCATACAGTGTTCCTCTGAGCGACCGGGGTGAAAACTCCAATCTATGTGTGTTAATCACCAGTGACACTCAAAGCTGTGTTTTGGTACCGTGCATCCGCATCACTTCTCTGGTATTATCTAACTTAATTTAAAAGTGGTGTGTCATCTGTTGTTGCTACGTCGCAATCCACATCCTGTGTGTCCTAAACCGTATACAAAATTTGAACTAGTATGTTGCAAATTATAATCATGTTTTTCTTTAGTCTATTGATCGGTCTTCAAGTTAATTTTAGCATTTTTCTTTCAGATTTTAATATGAAAAGGAAAGCATGAAATAAAAGCTTCAGAAAATGTTGATGTTTGTCTTGAGCTGCTAAGTTGTACTGTACTTTATTTCCAATAAAATTGGAAGAAGATTCACAAACAGATTCAGTCGCTCACATTTCTTTGTATGATGCTGTTTGCATCTCCACCTTTTTGACAACCAAGAATTTGAAACTGCCAATTAGAACTTAGCAATTACAAAGTATCAGTACTCCCTAAAGTAAATGGTACATGTGAAATGTGACACAGTCGGCATCCTATTTGAATTGGATGGTTTGAATGGGAGAGGGAGTATATTCAAAATTAAACTGGATATGTAAAATAACTGTAAAAAGCAATTAGTTGACTTTTCTTTAAAAAGGTAAGTACATCCATTGGCTTTAAATTATTAAGTTGATTAACTGTGCATTAATATATAAATTGTTAACTTAACAGTTCCAATTTTACAGTTCTAAACAGGTTTACTAACTTTTTTAAAGGCACAATGTGTCATTTTTGCCACTAGAAGATGTGTATTTACAACAAACAAAGGCATATTATGCCGTGACTGAGTGTGAAATTATGGAAGATGTCGTCTTGTTACATTCTATCGCACTCCTGCAGAAATCCTGTTAATGATTCAGCATTCAAAACATATGATCATGGTTATTTGAAGCAGAGTAATGCTGCATTTACACCAGACGTGGATGAAGCATGAAGCGCGAGTGATTTACATGTTAAGTCAATGCAAAGATATGAATAGACATCCTGCGTAACATTTCACTCAAATGAGGCAGCACGAATGACACGATTCGCATGAATAAAGCACTACTGAAGCGAGTTGATCGTTTCAGCAGACATTCGTGCCTCGTTAACCAATCATGAACTTGTTCTTGTATTAGAGTAATTATGACGTAGTGCCAGTTGTTGGTGTCCCAAGGGGAAATCTTCTTGCCAACACCAGGCAACAGTTAATCAAACTGGGCTTGGCTCAGTTTGAAGAACTGCTGAAAGCCTCCTTCATCCAGATACATATTCTGGAGGAGTTGGTGAACTCACAAAGCTGGGTGCACTGCTAAAAAGATCTAGTGCACTTAGACACGGCGCCGAACGAATATACATTGTTTTTCAGCCTTCCTAAAACACATAAACACAGCTGTTCTCTCAATAAAATCCATTTAGCAACAAAGCTAGAGTGACCAGACAGATGAATCCTGGTCTATTGTAAAGTGAATTTGATGTGCAAAATGAAGCAAATTTGATGTGCGAATGAAGCAAGTACACTCAAAATGTTCCAGCATCTATTTGCAAGTGAATAGCGAGATTTATTCACGCTTTATGCATCTGATGTGAAAGCAGAAAGTGGTCAAAGCGAAACAAGAGAGCTACATAAAGAGAGGAAAGCAAAAGGGCCAAAAAAGCAGCTGAACATTTATATGCCACAGTTGATTTTTTCTGGATCTTCCAGTCATGATCAATGAAGTCGTGGGAATGAAGCAGCAGTGCTGTTTTATTAAGGTTCTGTTATAATGTTGCTCTATACAGTCTAGTAAACTGCACAACATATTAAAGCATCCATGGTGTTTTTTCATGTTTGCTGTAAAACCAAACAAGAAATCTAGGGTATATGACGTCATTATCATAGCAACAAAGGTCTCTAGATAAAATTGGTTATTTCTCTGCATTTGAACATTCTTCTTAAGAATTGAAATTATGTATGCATTGAAGTTAGCAAGATATATAATGTATATTAATATATATATTAATGAAACAATATTATATATTGTGCCTTTAAGTAAAGTCAATTTGTTGCTTTTAAGGCAATCTACTCACTGTTTTAAATAAAGTAACTAATAATTTTTTTAGTGATGGCTGTATTACTTTCTTTTGTTTCATACCTCAAAAGGGGAATTTTCAAAAGTGCCATGGTCACACTTATTGTACAAAATGTTTGCACATAATTATAATACATAATATATTATATAGGTGTTTGAGGAATAAAGTTTTATGAAAACAAGACAAAAGACAATATGTAACAAAACAAAAAAGTCATTAGTCATTGTTCAGGGGATTATACTGTGGACAGAAGAAGCACATTTGTGAGAATTCAAATACAATACAAAATTTAATCAAATTATCTTATTTACTTTAGTAAATACTCGTATTCATTGCAGCTGCTAATTTTTGCTATTAACTATAAAAGTTTAAAACTGTCATGTGGCAAAGTTCCAGTACTGAGATAAAAAAAGACACAAAGAATTTTGGGGGTACAATTACATTTAGTCAATTAGCAGTTGCTCTTATACAAATCGACTTACAAATGAGGCATTAAGCAATTCAACATGAAGAGGCAATACACAAAACAAGAGCTAATTATACAAAGAGACTCTTAGTGCTCAGAGAAATAAGAGAGTAAGGAGAGAGAGGGACTATTCTTACATACTTTTGTGTCTTTTTAAAAAGGTTAATACAGGTCACTGTTCACTAGCTTTAAAAGAATTATTACATGTATATTTAAATGTGAACTGAAAAAGAAAGTAAGTCATACAGGATTAGAACAATATCAGAGTAAGTAAATAATGTCCACTTTTTTTATCTGATTATGTAAAATCAAATTAGATTATAATGAAAATTTCAGATGGATTCTCATGTGAATCTAATGTGCACTGCTTTTATTGTAATGGACAACAAGAGAAAATGTTTTTACTGACTCTCATAAAAACAACCTAGTAAAAGCTTTTATTTTGGTGTCGTTACGTCTCCATATTCAATCTTTGATGGATCCGTCTAGCCAGTGTGCTGTACTAAAAAATCTCCAGATGTCACCCTGTCACGCTTGTAAAACACCAAATGCGGCTTCCATCCTAAACTAAGCAAGTGATTTATCTGAGTTTTATGGAATATAACTCCACGGCATGACACAAGCATTCACCCATGAATTAAAAGCAGCACTAATCAGGAAGCATCTGCCTCTCATTATGATGGCAGACAGCTAATTAGTGTCCATCAAAAGCAGCGGTTCTTTAGATGCTTCCCTGTTGTATGTGTGTGCAGGTGTCTGGAGCTCCACCCCAACAACCTCCAGGCCCTTATGGCTCTGGCAGTGAGCCTGACCAACACGGGCATGAGGCAGGAAGCGTGTGAGGCGCTGCTGGGCTGGATAAGACACAACCCCAAATATAAGCATCTTCTGAAGAGCCGCACGCACCTGCAGGGCTCACCTGGATCACGGAGACCCTCCTATCCCTGCCCAGTCAGCTGGTAGGCTTTCAAATCAATGCAGTTCATTGTGAAGAATATTCAGCGGCTACAAACTTTATTTGGATTGTGTGTAAACTAAACCTCGCAACTAACTTTACATTTATTCTTGTAATTATTTTTAACCAGGAGTTATTTTGAGTCTGACTTGAGGTTTTGACTTAAATTGTACCATAGGTCTCAAACTCAAATCCTGGAGGGCCGCAGCTCTGCACAGTTTTACTCCAACCTTAATCAGACACAGCTGATCCAACTAATCAGGGTGTTCATGACTCTTTTGAAAACCTCAAATATTTGGATCAGTGATAGGGTTGGAGCAAAATTGTGCAGAGCTGCGGCCCTCCAGGAATTGAGTTTGAGACCTATGGTACAATTTCAGTCAAAACTCGTTTGAGTTTGAGACCTATGAATTATACAGCAACTACATTTTAAAAGCCTTTGTAAAAATCAAAATTGACTGTTTAATCTGGTACTCGTTATTATTTAGGTGAACAATTAATCAGTGCAAGTTAAAGCATTGGGAAAAAAATTGTTTTAGTTATCTAATCATTTAGATTAGCAGTCTAATCATTTGCTTTCATGCTTGGATCTTAAATGATGTTGATTTGAAGGCTTCAGGCACAATATTATTTTTTTCAAAAAAAATTTTATCTATAACAGTTTTTTATAAGTACAAAACTAAGCAAAAAAACATTTTTACAATCTACATTATGTTTTATACAAATTATGAAAAAAAAATACTAATAAAAAAAATGTAAACAAATTATTTACATAAGTGAATCAATAAAAAACGGGCACCAGTACATTCAAACATGTACCATATAAAGTAAATAATTTACACCATTAGGTTTAACTTAATTAAACTCAAAACATTGAAAAGAAAGAGTAAAACTGTCCATGAATCATAAGCGCCCTACTTTCAACTTTTAAAAAGATAAGCAAGGAAGAGGCTCCAGAACTCTTTAGAAGCATCTGCCCTTGCAAAGTTAATTTTTTCAAGCTTAAGAGCAGCAACCATTTCGGTATGCCATTTACGAAAAGTAGGTGGTAAAGTGGACTTCTAGTCCATCAGGCACAATATTCTTAACCACGCCACTCTTATAGGCCTACTCTTAGTTTGCTATGAAGAAGTGATGTGCAAACAAAAAGCCCCGTCCCAACACAATATTTTGTTTCAGTTAAACGTACATCAACATACTGAAATAAAAGTCTCAGCATCTTCCAGTTCACCTTGACTTCATTCATTCATTCTCTTTTCGGCTTATTCCCTTTATTAATCAGGGGAAGTCACAGTGGAAGGAACCAACTTATCCTGCATATGTTTTATACAGCGGATGCTCTTCTAGCCGCAACCCAACACTGGGAAACACCCACACACTACCATTCACACAAGTACACTACGGACAATTTAACTTATTCAATTCACCTGTACCGCATGTCTTTGAACTTGTGGGGGAAACCGAGGCACCCGGAGGAAACCCATGCTAACATGAGAACATGCAAACTCCACACTAAAATGCCAACTGACCCAGCCAAGACTCAAACCAGCAACCTTCTTGCTGTGAGGCGATTGTAATACCCACTGCGCCCTCGTGATGCCTATTCCTGGACTTCAAAGTTATTACATAACTCTGTACATGATCCAGTAATGTTTAACAAGCCCAAAATGGTTTGTCTAAATATCAGATTTTTGTCTAAATGAGAATTGTTTTTAAACATTTTATTAATCATTTCTCCCAATTCCACTCTATGTAATTTAAAGGTGCAGTAACTGACCTGCCAAAATGCTTACCATTTGCAAAATAGCTGTGAAAACACAGTCCTCACCCTGCCATCCAAAACCTTGCCTCCTGAAATAACGAGCGCACACTTTAAAGATGACTAGATCATGTCATTGGCCATTATGAAAACTTTATAATACTTTATAATGCTACAATTTTAGACAAAAACTGTATTATATCTAGCACGTTTTCCATTGTGTAGCAACTAATGTGATGTGACTAATGTGACATTGTGTGGTTTTATGCCTCACCCAGAATTACATAAAAATACAAAAAAAAAATACATTTAGATAATTTACTTTAATCATTACTATTGACTGTAAAGAGACTTTCAACCAGCACAATAAAAAAAAAAATCTGAAGAAAATCACCTACTGCATCTTTAACATGTTATCTCTAGATGTCTGGAGGTGTACAATAAATTAATATTTACATTTATTTTTGTACATTAAACTTTTTTATGTTGTCATGGCCAAATCACTGAATAAAAACATATTTAAAGGTGATTTTATTCTCCTGCAAGAGAAGGTCATAGGTCGCTGCAAAGTGTGAGATGGAATGGAGAGATTTCATAAGTCTTTATAGCATTTAAGATTGGTAAATTGAACTTTCTGCAATAATGTCCTGCTGATTTATTTATACACAAATACATTTTACCAACTTCATTCATTCATTCATTCATTCATTTTCTTTTCGGCTTAGTCCTTTTATTAATCCGGGGTCGCCACAGCAGAATGAACCACCAACTTATCCAGCATATGTTTTACGCAGCGGACATCCTTCCAGCTGCAACCCATCTCTGGGAAACATCCATACACACTCATTCACACTCACACATTACGGACAATTTTAGCTTACCCAATTCACCTATAGTGCATGTCTTTGGACTGTGGGGGAAACCGGAGCACCCGAAGGAAACCCACTCGAACACGGGGAGAACATGCAAACTCCACACAGAAACGCCAACTGATCCAGCCAAGGCTCGAACCAGCAACCTTCTTGCTGTGAGGCGACTGCACTACCTACTGCGCCACCGCGTCGCCATTTTAGCAAGTTCCCCTACATAATTTTAAGTGATTTGCATGTAAATAGTGACAAGTTGATCTTGTGTTAGAACCATTTTTATTTGTCCCTACACAATAACAATGCTAGGTTCAACACAATTCATTCATATTATTCCTAGAAAAAATTAAGTTAACGTAATTGTTTTTATGAATTTAAGTGAACTAAACATAAAACAATTAAGTTTGTCCTCCTCAAAACTGGTGCATTGTGTTAATTCAGCTTGTTTTGAGCAAGTTGTTTGAACAAGCAACACAAATGTTTTTGGTTGTACATTCAGATACCTCCTACATGCACCTCAATTTAAAATCTCTCTCTAGAGAGCTCTTTTCCTTTTTCTTGGCTATTAAATGGCAGATTTTGATGATGTTGCTGGTTAGGATGTCCCTGAAGGGCATTTCCTTTGTGTGTCTCTATATCTCCAGCCCCCTACTGCCAGAGGTGAAGGATCTTTACCTGGAATCGGCCCAGCAGAACGTGGACACCATTGACCCAGACCTACAGACTGGGTTGGGAGTGCTGTATAACCTCAGCTCTGAGTTCAACAAAGCAGTTGATGCTTTCAATGCAGCGCTGTCAGTGCGGCCGGAGGTAAATCCACCATAATGATCCCAGTGGCTATTTCTGATGTTTTCTGGATTGGAAAAATCCAGCCCTTTGGTGTTCTCAAACAGAGCTGTGAGGCAATGTCCTGTGAATCAATTTAATAATGTTGCTTTTTATTGCTCTTGAAAAACATCACTCTTGTGTTAGACTCTTAGAAGTTTACTGATCACAGTATCACTATATACCTGCTGAAGTTAAGTAGAGTTGAGTCTTGTTAGTAACTGAATGAGAGAACCAACTGCTAGAAAAGCTGAGTTTCTGCTGGAAGAGGCCAACAGGAGCTGTTCATGCTGTCGTCTATGAGTCCCAGCAGCCTAATATAGAGATCAGGACACTATACAGTCGTAAAGCGCTGTCCTTTAGATGGGATATTAAACCGTGAATGAGCAGGTTTTGCAGAGTTGCACTCCAGTGCTAATCAAATACATGTGAATAAGCTCATCAAGGTCTAGAGGTTACTAGAAACTACAGTCAGGTGATTTTATAAAAATACTCTAGGTCAAAACTCAGCAGGACTGTCTTGCCTACTCAGGCATTAAACCAAGTTCCTGATTTTCCGTGATAATATAAAATCATATAGAAATAAATAAAAAATATTCCAGATTGTCCTTTGGATAACCACCAATCTCCTCTCTACCAGTAAACTGGTGTTAGGTGGGTGTTCCGGTGCATTATAGCTGCTGGCACACATCAGGTGTTTAAGAGGATTTTGGCAATAACCAATTTTCACTATAAAATTGTAGCTTATTAAAGTACCTGCCTATTATTAAGATTTTGGTGGTTTATCAGGTTTACCTACTGTACTTTCTGAAAGTCTACTCCCTCCACCTACCAAGTATGGCATCATTTACACTGGAGAAGCCTCCGATATTTATTGGGCCCAGTCTTATATTTGATTTGAATCAAACCTGTCCTTTCAAAACTTTGAACTCAGATTGGGATATATTTGATTAAACAAAAAACAGGATTAGCCTAATCCCACCAGAAGGGTGGATTCAGTTGTGATTATTTTTTACTAAATAAACAAAATAAAATAATAAAGTTTTATTTTTTAAGTGAATGATCACAAACTTAATGGTTACTGATTATATAAATTCCTTCATATTTGAAGCATATGAAGCATGTCACATCTAATGAGCTATGGTAAACAACAACAACAAAACAATATCAAAGCCGTATTGTATTAGAACAAAGTAAAAGTGTTCAATGTTTGTTGATTGCAGTTTTTCTGTTTCTTTCTGTTAAAACAAACAATGCCTGTTTGTGGCCATTGGTATTTTGCCTACTGTACCTGTTGTTCATTGCTAAGCCAGTAGGCTACACTGTTGGTTACATCTACACTGTTGGTTCCAAATCCTAAAATTTGGTATTTTGATCACAGTGATTCCACCCAATGTTCCTTTAAAAACTTATAAAAGTAAGATAGATTAGTTAATCCTGGATAGTAAAACATGGGATTTTCAAATCCGGACCAATTTGATTCTAATAATTAAAAAGAAAAATAGGTAGCATGTTCACCTCACAGCAAGAAGGTCACTGGTTCGAGCCTCAGCTAGGTCAGTTGGCATTTCTGTGTGGAGTTTGCATGTTCTCCCCGTGTTCATGTGGGTGTCCTCTGGGTGCTCCGGTTTCCCCCACAAGTCCAAAGATAGGTGGTACAGGTGGATTGAATGTGCTAAAATTGACCCTAGTGAATGAGTGTGTGTGGATGTTTCCCAGTGATGGGTTGCGGCTGGAAGGGCATCCGCTGCATAAAAACATATGCTGGATAAGTTGGCGGTTCATTCCGCTTTGGCGACCCCAGATTAATAAAGGGACTAAGCAGAAAAGAAAATGAATGAATGAATGAATGAATGAGTTTTGGCGGTATGGTTCTGTTCTGGTATAGTATGGTTCCCATCTGTGCAGTAACAAAACTAGAAACTTTGCATAAACAATTACAATTAAATAGGAGTTCATGTAAATGCCATAGACATGAGGTTGATGACCATGTTATTGGTGGTACCCTAAACATATATCAGATATGAGCAAGGGGGAATTGGGTAGGATGGAGGGAGTTTAAAATTGACCCTTTACTAAGTCCCACCCAAAAACCTCCACAGACAAATCATGGCTTAGCAACCATACCTAGATGCTTGAGGTCTGTCAAGATTTCAAGCGAGGAAAACAAGCCAAACATTGTGGATATGGATTGTGCAAATCTGGAACTAGTATTGTAAAAGTTTGGATGGGGTGATAGAATTCTTTACCTTCCCGAAATCTCAAACCAAAGGGGAGAAATGCCAGGCATGGATCAAGCAGTGTGGGAGGATGTAAACACAGCACAATCCAGTCATATTTCCATCTGTTTCAAGCTACAAATATTTGGATCACACACATCAATCATAAAAACAGATATATGATTACAAACTGTGAATTGTGAGTACTTGCAATCAATAAACTTCATCTGCAGCTGTTTTTTAGTCATTGAAAGCCATCATGTCCCTGTCAGAGCTCCAACTCTGTGATGTTTACATCTGTCGTGTGGATATTCATCAGCAATTTAGTCAATAGTTAAGGTGTTATATAGCGCATAAGTGTCTGCTTTTATATTTGGTGTTGTTGTTGTTTTTCTTTTTTCTTTTTTTTTGCTTAGTTTTATATTTGGTGGTTAGAAAATCTGTTCTCTTAAATTTGTTCACCTCTGCGATTTATGCTTTGACTTTGCATTTTAGTTTATACTTTAATTGCACTTAATTTTAAAGTAAAATAGAATCTGTAAAAAAGCATACAAATGTACTGACAATTATAGGTACTGTACATTATTATTAGACGATGATGGATAGTATTCAGCACAAATCCATGCATTTCCCCTTTCTGGCTGTTCTTTCTATGAATGATTTCTGTAGAAGCACTGACCAGGCGTGTCTCTTGTCTGTTATTAACGCTATATTTTATTGCACAACAATTAGCCTATCTGGCTTTTTGGCTAAAATAAGAGAGCGAGATCACTTTATAATTTAAATCATAGTTATTAAATTATATTCAAATTTAATTAACCCAGCTTTTGGTGAACAAAGCTGTTAAATGGTGACTGCTGCTTGCACTGGGATTTAGGCTTTATATTTTGTCATGGACATACCCCTCTATGCATACTGCAGAACTTTTTAACCAAAAAAGACCTGATGTATGGACCTAAATAGGCCACCATGATTGATGTCGGAACTAGATTGGTACTCATGAACAGCTGACCATCAGCTGACGCAGGGTTGAGTGATGTGTCCTGCCTGAACTAACCCAATGCAATAAATGATTTATTTGCAAAAGACTGGACATGAACCTAAACAGCACTAATATGTGTACATCCTGTAACCCTTCAGTCAGTAAAAAAACAATCCTGGTGACCCACTTACTGGTTTATCCACTGGTCCAATGCTTTCATTCAAATATTCATTTAGTATTACTTCATATTATTGACTGCATTGTAAATTCAATTTAAGGTTTTTCAAAGCACTGATTGATCAGATAGGGATCTACTTGTCCTATCACTTTCTGTAAAAGAAAAAAAAACAAAGTAATGACTGTAGGTTGAAGGAAAGTGTACTCAAGTAAAAGTACAGATTTTAAAAACTACCTAGTTTAGTATTATTACTGACAAAAAATGGATTCAATTACACTAATTTGAGTATTTGTAATTTGTTACTTTACACTACTGTAGAGAGGTGAGCTGCACATAGCAGTGTTATATCATTGTTCACTGCAGAAGCATGCAAGCAGTTTGTGACAAGCTCCAGTTCGCCTGGTCATGAACCGGCTCTGGTTCCATTTTGGTGTAAAGATGTGTCAGTGTACTCGGCTGACAAACTGGGACTAAATCATACAGAATTGCTCCCCGAAGGCAGAGGGCAAAGAAGAGAGGGAGGGAAAAGTCACTGGAGGCTTTTAAAGTGTCTCCGAAATCTTTGAAACAGTTCATTTGAAACTTGAGGGGAGCTTTACCATTCATGAGCGCTGACTCCAGAACCCTGTGGGTCACCTTGTCCACGATTGATGCTTGCTAAGCCAAATTCTGTCCCCCCGTGTAGACTGCATTTACACTCAATCGAAAATCCTTCCCATCTGCTTGACTTGGTAATGTCTGCTTGCCTGCTGGGGGGCTCAGAGCGTGAATACGATGAAAGATAATAGCATTGCGCAAGAGAAAGTCTGATAGCAGGCTCTGTGACTTCTTTGTACAACTGTTTTATGCAGCGTCACCGCACATAAAGGTCAAATTCTTATTTTCATCCCTAAAAGAATAAGCAGATCATCGCTTAATGGTATTAAACATAGTCACATGTAATGGCGTAATCTGTCATGTGCAATGTGATAATTATTTTGATCCGTGACACTGAGCCGGAGGGATTTTTTGTGCCGTTGGTGTGTACAGGACTACCTGCTGTGGAATCGGCTGGGGGCGACGCTGGCTAATGGAGATCGCAGTGAGGAAGCAGTGGAGGCCTATACCAAAGCCCTGGAGCTCCAGCCTGGCTTCATCCGCTCACGTTACAACCTCGGCATCAGCTGCATTAACATGGGCGCTCACAGGTTTGTGATTAACACATGAGAAAAGTGTCATTCCCAACTTTTTGTTAAATATATAACATACTTTAATAATATAACACACCTTTCAAACAGAATCAAGCATCCAACAGAGCCACAGTATAAAATATAATATCATTTTTAGTAGAGGTGTGAACCTACAGTGGTCTCACGGTTCGGTTTGGTCACGATTATCATGCCATCAATTCAGTTCAATCCGATATCTCGGTGCATCACGTTGCATTGATGATTCTTTCCATACACCATACACCATATATATGAACTGGACCTTTAAAAGCTTAAGTACAAGCAACATGAGCATTTATAGCAAATAAACAAATGTAAATATCCCGCTCTCTTTATGAGCCCTGTTGAGTGAGTTCTTACACCCCTATGATTGGTTACACCTTCAACAGTAAGGGCTACGATTGGCTCTAGCGTATTCATCACTCATCAGTGTTCACCGATGCTGTAACTTCAGTGCCAGTGAAAGACTGTCCAGCAAACACACACGCAGTGAATTGTGCAGAGTTTATGCATTTTTAAGCAGTTGCAGTGTTTTAATTACTCGCGCTAGCCAGCGTTACCAGTAATGTTAGATTCGGCTACTTTTCAGACCCCCCTAGCGACAAATTTTCAAAAAAGCGTCTAGCAAAAATCTAGTGACTTTTTTTGCGTGTTACTGGAGATTTTTATAGAATTTCATGTGTCCATATTGCATATTCCCTATTTTTCTCAAAGAGCTTTGGGCCGCCAGCCCCTCCCCCGCCTCAAAGCTCTGACAGGCTGCCCAGTCAGTTTCTCCCACCTGCAGCCTGAGAGCAGATCACTCCTCTGCGTACCGACGGCAAATGATTTAGCACCGGCAGTGTGAAGGTATTTTCCTTGTGCAGTCAAACCGATCTGCCTCTTCTTTATTTTAGCAATTTAATTTCACCGTTTATTCTTTTCTTGAAACACAATTGCAGAAATTTTAGTGAGAATTTCAGAACTTGTCTGAGTTTATTACGTCTGAGAGATTACTGCAAATTCAATCCACATCTATACTGATATACTGTATTCAAACAGCAGTAAATTTATTAAATTGACATGCAAATAAAGCGTAGTGCAAATATAAATACCCCTTTATTTACCATAGGCTGTTAAATAAACAGAAATGGTAGAACATGATGACGTCAGTAATATGCAAATAATGTATGATGTAATCTAGTGACTTTTAGCAACTTTTCAGGCAGAGCTTAGCGCCTTTTCATTGAAAATAGTTGGCAACAGTGGCGCTCGCCTCCCTTGCCATAGTAAGCTACTGTGACATAGCGCATATGAGATAAATTAAGTCAGTACATAATACCTGGTTAGGATCTATTACTGAACCGATATCGAATTGTCCGCATCCACATCGCTGTGCACCAAAGAAACACTCCTAATTTTTAGCATTATTAATTTTTTAAAATTCTTTTATTATAAATAGCCTGGCTTTATTGCAATACAGGCTCATTCTAAAAACGTAGCCCTACAGTATATACATTTCTTGAGATCGTAAATCATGTAGCCAGAGGTACGTATGGCTGCATTTGACTTTAAACCGAATGCTACATTCATTTTCGCACTTACCAGCTGACTGCTTACCCCCGTATGGACAGCTTTCCCTCTGTTACCAGTTTGTCCAGTTAGCTATACTTGTGTGTTGGTAAACTTGAGATGCAGAGAGGAGTTGGCCTTGATGACATTCCAGAAAGCAGATGAGAAAAACAGAAGCCAAAAAATAAAATAAACAAGTAAATAACAGAGTCAGAATGTGGTAAAACAGGGTAAAAATCAGGCGAGGGCTTTTCTTTTTCTGGATTGCTTTTAAAAAAGTGTCGGTTAGGTTGAGGGAAGTGGGAGGGCGGGCCAATCTGTGCTTTTGAAAACACCATTGGTTGGGTTTGAGGAAGGGAAAGGGTGGAGGGTATCAGTCGGTTGATTAGTCAGTAAATCAGTCAATCAACAGTCAGTCAACACCGGCCTCCGGTGAATTTATGCGAGAAGAGCAGGCATGAATGACACTCACAAGAGAACTTTGAGATCTAAAAAAAGCATATACAGCGGCCTCTGGTGGATTTGCGAAAACAAGATCTGCAAAAAAACACAGCTCCTGGCACATATTAGGCATTCTCCCAGAAATAAGCCCGGGTTGCTTTATTGTCACATTGCTGCGGCCAATGAATTGTTTTGACCAATCAAACACAGCCTGGAGCATCCATACAGTAGTATGGATTCTGCAATGTACAGTAAGAGAACAGTTTTGTTCTGATTGGTCTGTTTTTCACCTTGATTTTACATTGACTTGATTAAAATGAGAGTGTAAACAATAGATTCTCACGGTATGCCATTTCTATGGACTGAAATCGCATTATTCAGCTATGCCTATAGGCATACCTTTAAATTAGTCAAGAAGTGGAAATATATGCTGGACGTTTCTGTACTTTCAGAAAAAACTTTTTATTTTTCATGTTGAACTTGCAGGGAGGCAGCCAGTAATTTCCTGACGGCCCTTGGTCTGCAGAGGAAGAGCAGGAGTCGTCAGCTTTCCCACCAGGTGATGTCTGGAAACATCTGGGCAGCGCTGCGGATCGCTCTCTCCATGCTGGACCAGCCGGAGCTCTTTCAAGCTGCTAACATCGGAGACCTGGATTTACTAATGAAAGCTTTCAACCTGGACATGTGAGAGAGGAAACCCTTTAAACATGGCCAACATCCAAAGTCCTTTATGAGACCAACTTTGTCAAAAAGCAACTTTGTTTCTTTTCTTTTTTCCGCAGAGCACCTTTACATTCCTGAGAACTGAGTGCTGGATGGTACTATTTTAATAGATTTGCACATCAGTTTAAGATTAAGAGCACAACGCCGGGTGAAGATTGTACAAGTATGCCTTAGAGAAAATATCAGCTAGTCCTGCTACAGAAGAAAATCTGTTTTGACTTGTAATTCTACGACTGATGAGACGAACGCGGACTATAAATGCGCAAGAACAAAACTCCAGATCAGTGACTTGATTAGACGTACTGTATTACGTAGACTTCATGCATTGGTTGAATTGCACTCTTTATTTGAGATGGCGAGGTTGTTTTATTAATTTGTTTATTTTTGGATTTTGGTGGCACTTGGTTGAACCCTGGACACTCCTCGCCTGATCTCTGCTGCATCTCCCCCTTTATTTCCTGGAGCTTGCAGACCAGATTTTAAAAAGCCTTACTTATTGTGCATGTAAAATAAGTTACTGAGATGATACCAGATAAAAGCCATTCCTTGCCATACTTTGACCTCTTGATAAAACTGAAACCGAAGTCTGCGTTTCATCAAGGTCTTTTTTTTTTTTGTTTGTTTGTAAAACATACCACATCTTTGAAGTGTAGTAGGCCTACTGATTATTTTTCAGAATTCAAAGCAGGGAATTCACATATACTGCCCCGCAATATCAATCTAGATTTGACAGGAAAACAAGTGTCTTTTGTATTTTTGAAAAAAAATGCTGCCCAAAATCTAAGCCAAATATGTGTGATTATGACCCCGGGTTTCACAAACAAGGTTTAAGGCTAGTCAAGATTCAGTTGCATGTTTGACCTGTCTCAACTCAAAATAACTTGCAGTGAGATGTCTTAAAATACATCAGTGTCAGTTTTTTTCTCCAAGTGCACACCATTTATATATTTTTCTAAGGCCATTTTATTAAATTTGGCTTAAATAGCCTAATTTAACCAAGGCCTAGTCCTGGCTTAATCCAAGCCCTGTTTGTGAAACTGGGCCTAAGAGTTTTATACCCTGATGCTGCCATTGTTGCTCATTTATGCTGCCTTCATGTGCTATCAAATTTAGTATAAATATGACAGAATTGTACATGAAAAGCCTCTAAAGCTGCATTCATATGGAAGCTTGCTTTCGCCACAAATTTCAGACTTTATTCCTACTTACGCAATCTTGACATTCTGTGCAAACTGTATAAATTAGGAGTAAGATAAACCACATGAACTTCACATGTTAAAATGAGAAACATTAAATGTGGTTTCTAATATTTTTTTCTTGGGGAACCTTTTGTGATTCCATATAAACACATGAATCATATTGACCTGGCATATATGGCAAGCTGTTATAACATTTAACCCTTAAAAAAGGTGTGTTTTCATGGTAATAATTCTTATTTTTTTAGCTACTGTTTATTTAATTAAGTACCAATATTAATTCACTAGCTAGTGCTTATCTTTAGGTACTAGTTTTTATGTGTTACATACTAATACTTAAAATATTAGTGTCTACTACATACTATATTATACTACACACCTTACAAATGACTAATATTATCTAGTATAAAAAGTATTTGAATTAAATGTAACATTTAATTATTAAGTAGAAATATCAAATGAATACTTATTACAAAATATCTTTGAATATTAGTCAGTATTAGATTATATCCAGAGCAGAATAGTTCATAACCTAACACTATCTAATGAATAAGCAGTACCTATGCATTAAGTCATATTTTTATAAAAAAGAATGATATAATTGAAAGAATTTAACGTTATATCATCTTGCCATAAGGCATCTTCCATGATTCCTAATTTTATATGACAACATGACTTCAATTTCAATTTCATTTACACTTTATTTTAAAGAAACGCTCCACTTTTAAGGGTGAAAAATAGGCTCATTTTACAAATTTAACCGAGTTAAACCATCTATTTGGCCTATGTTCAGATCTGGCAGGAGCACTTTTAGCTTAGCATATAAGCAACGCAAGTTTATTTATACAGGGTCTGTGCAGGATCCTAAAGGTAATTTCAAAACCTTTTTAAGACCTTTTAAAGACATTCTCAGAATATTTTAAGACCTCATCGTCACTTCAAGTTCCAATCAGTATCACACCTTAACTTAATAAACAGTTGTTAATAAACAGTTGTAGTTAAATAAATCAAAGGAGCACAACCATGCAACAGAGAAAGATAAGCTTGGAAGAAACAAAGCTTGAAAGAATAAATCACACGGTTGTTTTAAGCAACAGGCTTCAGCCACTGTTTAAACTCGTCTTTCTCCAACCACTTACGCAAACACAAACTTACATTTTCTCATTTTGCCATCTTTTTAACTGGCTTCACATCACCTCCCCACATTTGTCGCAAAATTACGTGACATCACCCGAAAAGAGGAGCTTGGCTGCACGTGGCCCGGCCCGATCCAATCGCATGGATCGAGCACATTGTTTTTAATATTAGGAGGAAAATCAATATATTTATGCTTTTTTGGAGTCAAACACTTTGTACAACGCTTGAACAAAATTTAAGACCTCTTAAAAACGCGATTAACAATTTTTATACCTTTTAAGGGCCTTCATTTTCTCATAATTGATTTATGAACTTTTAATACTTTTTAAGACCCTGTCAAAGGACATTTCATACATGATGGTAATTCAAAGTGCTTTAAATAAACAAGATTAAATGATATAAAATACAACATCTATAAGATATAAAAATAACAAAGGATAAAAATTATTCATTCATTCATTCGTTTTCCTTTGCCTTAGTCCTATATTTTTTAGGGATCACCACAACAAAATAAACTGCCAACTATTTCAGCATATGTTTTTTTGCAGCAGATCATAGATAGAAATGATTAAAAACAGGTTTAAAAAAAAAAGAAAGCTTTCTGTGCCGTAAATCACTCAATCAGTTTAGAGTTTATCTAAATCAGATTAGAAAATAACAATTCTTTGATTAAAAATTCATTTTTTTAATTATTTCAAATCCAGGGAGCATGGTATAATTGCCTTAATATCATTGCGCCTACTGCAGCCATAGTATGACATCAAAGTTCCTTGATTATTATGCTGAAATGAAAGTATTGTTAGCCATGTATTAATCATTTTCCATCAGTCTTAGTACACGATGTAATTACAGAAGAGTCACGTTTTATAAATTATTTTTAAAAAAAAGAGTTTGTTTGAAGCGAGATGCTAATGGTCTAATCCGATTCAATGATTTATGCTAAGCTATGCTAAACGTGCTCCTGCCAAACCTGGAGATTCGGCTGAAAGGATTCAAAAAAAGTAAAACTCAACCGTTTAACTCTTATTTGAAAATAAAAAGGTGGAGTGTTACTTTAAGATGTCCTTGTTTCAGTGTAACTACTACAGAGTAATATTGATTACATGTACTTACTGTGGTTAGAATCAGGATGAGAGTTAGTTCTATGGTTAGTTGCATGCAATTATGCATTTATGAATTATGTAATTATGAATTGTAATTAACATAGTAAGTGCATAGAACACGTAACAAGGGCAACTTTAAAATAAAGTGTTCCTGAAATGTCCCATAGCAAGTGAAGGCAGCGTTACTATAGTTGATCTCTAGCTTGCATGACTTTTCATTTTGCTCATTAGCGTGAACATGCAAGTGCTTAATGTTGCTTGTGCGCCTCACAAAAAGTCAGTACATAGGCTAATGATTTTAAAATGCTATGCAAAACCTATTTTTCCCCTTCATGCAGCTGGAAGTAGAAGAAAAGTCTGAAGCACCAGAAAAGCTTACCTGCATTGTGACTTTTTGGTGTAAACTTGTGGGTAGAGGGTAGAAAATCTGCACTTTCAGATCAAGTCTGTTTAACTTTACGTATTAAGTATCTTACTTCGAAAGTCTTTGTGATTCAGCCCAGCTTTCATTTGTAGCGTCATTATTCCCTCACTAACTGCAAGAGTTGATCTCCAATATTTATGAAAAGAGCATGCAAAGCAGTTCAAGCATCCATTTTCAAGTGTTATTAATTTATGAATTGTTGTTCCATTTATTTATTATGTATTTCTTACTTCTTCTGTATCTGAAACTCTTTGAAAAGTCCTGTATATGCTATCAATACAGTTAGAACAGGCTTGTGCTTTGTAGCTGAATGTTACAGTAGACACTGTAGATTCTCTCATGCCTGAGGCCAAACCTCCCTTTTCTAGAACTTTGTACAATCTCAGGTGTGATTGTCTAGATGAATTTATGCTCCAGAAAAACTCCTGATGTATGACCGCATGCCGAATATACTTATTTTTTTGAATGCTGTAGAGGTATTTATATGCATGAACTTGACATGCCTATTTTAATCTATACCCTTCATTTCTATGACTTATATAGCACTGTAACCACAATATTTTGCATTTCAAAATATATATATATTGATCTGAAGAATATACGGCATTACCGTAAAATATTCCGAAATTAAAAGCGGTTTTTGCAATGCAGTGGGTACAAATCTTAACAAGACGTTCTTTGTAGTCATATATCAATATTGCAACAGCCAGATTTACTAAAGTCTTTAGAATTAGAGACTGGAAAATACATCAGCATTCAGAGCTGCGTTTCTGAATTTCTTCTTCTGAAACATTCTGAATGTTTGCCAAAGGCTTTAATAACTCTGGCACTGTATTTAAAGGGTAGATGCATATACAAAAGTTATCTTTTAAAATAAAAGATTGTTATAAGACTTTTGCATGTCTGGTTTGATGTCTTCAATCTTACTTTTATGCCAAAAATCATTAAAATAGTAAGTAAAGATCATATTCCTTGAAGATGCACTGTAACCAATTATATGTCAAGAAGTCATGGCACAAATGTTTATGTTCATTCATTTATTTTATTTTCTGCTTAATCCCTTTATTAATCAGGAGTCACCACAGCGGAATAAACAGCCAACTTGTGCAGCGTATGTTTTACGCAGTGGATCCCCTTCCAGCCGCCACCCAGCACTGGGAAACACCCATACACTCTTGCATTCAGACACATACACTACGGCCAATGTAGCTTATTCAATTCACCTATAACACGTCTTTGGACTGTGGGGGAAGCCGACGTTTATATGTTGCTCCAATTTATTAGAATCAGGTTTTGAAAAGTTTAACCTAATATTTGAGTCAGTTTGATGTAAGTTGAGATGACTAAAACATTTCGTTTAACTTAAAAATTTAAATTTTAAAAATTTATTTACAGTGTGTCAAACATTTCTTATCATAAAATAATTTCTTATTGTATATATATATTAAAATTTTTTGATTAGTAACAGGGACGGGCAAAAAATACATTCAAATGTATTTTAAAATAAAATTACACCAATTTTAAGTGTATCAAAATAAACTACAAAACACAGCAGCCATAAATGTATCGAAATAAAATACTGTGCTTTTGTATTTTAAAAATAGTACCTATTTGATCAATCCCTTCATCATTAAACTGACTCAGTGAAGTAAACAACTTTGCTCTGACACTTTTTTTACTTAAAGGGGAAGTTGTGGAATAATGGTTAGTGAGTTGGAGTTGTACCACAAAGGTAGCTTGTGTTTCTATTTGAGTTTAGTGTAAATTTAGCAAAAATTTCATACAAAACATTCTGTCTTGAAGATGACATCCTATGGTTTAAACTATTTTATGCCCAATGTGTGGCCAGTAAAATTGGCATCATCTCTATTCAATTATTATGAACCCTTTTAACATAACTTGTTATGACGCGTTTAACAGTCAGCATAATCTTAAATGCTTGAATGTATTTAATATTTAGATATTTTTTAAGCGTATGAACATTTATATGCATTTATATGTGTATAATATCATCTTTACATAAAATGACAAAAAAACGGATTACCTCTTGTGTGAGCTGTTTCTAATGCAGCGTCTATGGGGCTGAGAATAAATTTGACGTTATTCTCTTCTCTGGTTGCCATCGTCAATCTCACACAATTTATTTCCTTTTTCTGAAAGTCTTTATAACGACATTCTTGAGTTTTTCTTTTTTTATTTCAGCAGATAGGATTGTAAAAAAAAATTTTGTTGTACTCTTACATTCACTGCACTCTAAGTTTTCTCAATCATGATGACTTCCGCTACTGAGATACCTGGAAATGTAAAAAGGGTTTTTTCAACCTATTAACAATATTAGATTTTAAAAAGGCCTACAAAAAGAGTTCACTGTAATTTTTTGTTCACAAATTTTTTTTCATAAATCCATATTTTTGCAATTAATCTCTTCTATTCTCAATGAAAAAAACATGATTTCTAAAAATTACCAAAAACCCTACAAAATAAAAAAACGAAGTGTCAAAATTAGAAAAAAAATGAAAATATTAGCAAATAAACTCATTATATATATATATATATATATATATATATATATATATATATATATATATATATATATATATATATATATATATATATATATATATTACTGGAGTTTTCAGTCTCATCTCACGAGAAAGTGTAAGTATTTTACGTTTTGCCAGTTCAGTACGAAATTGGTCGTACGAAATTGTACAATTTTAAAAAGGGGGCGTGGCACCAAACCCCACCCTTAAACCAACCTGTCATTGGGGGATAAGCAAATCGTACTAATTTGTACGAATCAGATCGTACGAATTCATACGAATTAGCCACTAAATCAAAAAGTTACAAATTGCCATGAGATTGTGTTGGAGTTTTTGGTCTGTCCAGACTGGAGTATTATAAAATATTTGTGTTTCATATATTGTGACATTTGGACATCTTTAGGCTGACAGCTTTCGTCTTCATGAACTATACAGCGCACCAGCAGATATCAGAGACAACCATCTGTTACTTTTACTGAAATTAAGCATAATTTCTACCCATACTCCAAGCATTGACTACCTTTTTTAAAATAATAAAAAATTCTGTTCTGATCTCAAGCTTAAGCAAATATTTGAGGAAGACCAGAGACCTTGTTTTTATGTCATCATATACTGTAGACTGCAAAGTATTTTACAGTAAAAGACAAGACACTGAAGTATTTTGATACAAAATGTGAAGCCATTTTCCTACATCCTATCAAATACAAATGACTATTTTGTATTTGCAGAACTTATCTGAAATACATGTATCATAAATACTGCCAATTCCTGATTAGTAATATGCATTTTCTAATTTTCTAATACATGGGTTTAGAATAGGCACGGATGGAGGGGATGTATCCCCACCAATATCCACCAATTACTGAAACAATTCCTTAAATTTATACTCAAAAGAATCTCCTCATCCACCACCAGTGTGCAGCATCCACCTTGATGACCATTTTCCACCAGACTGCACTCCACACACCAGCTGATTGTTGGAGAGGAGACTGAGTGATGAAGCCAATTATGATTTGGGGGTGGTTAGGAGGCCATGATGGACAGAGGCCAGTGGGCAAATTTGGGCAGGAAGCCAAAGTTAAACCCCTACTCATTTTCAAATTACATCCTGGGATTTTTAACAGCCACATAGAATCAGGAACTCGGTTTAACATCTCATCCGAAAGACAGCACTGACAGAGCCGTATAGAGTCCGCTTCACTATACTGGGGCGTTAGGACCCACACAGACCGCAGGTTGAGCATCCCCTGTTGGTCTACAAACACCACTTCCAACAGCAACCTTGCTTTCCCATGTGATCTCCCATCCAGATACTGATCAGGCGCAGCCCTGATTAGCTTCAGTGGGTGACCAAGTGAGAGTTGCAGTAAGCTAGTTGCCGAATGTCCCTACTAATAGCTTGATTGACTTCAAAAGAAAATAATGCTCCGTCAACACTTACTAACCTACTACTTAAAGGGTTAAAGTCAAACTAGCTATGAGTTCAATATAATACTTATAACCAAGGCTGTGCAATTAATTGAAATTCAGTTTCGATTTTGGCCTCCATGATTATGAAAAATAATAATCGGAATTAAAACAGTTCAATTGTGTTACACACCTCTCTAAACTTCTCTTCATTCATACCTCCTCAAAGCCAGATTGCAGTAAAATCATGTAAATTAGCTTTTGCAGTATGGGACGTCAGTCGTTAATTGTTATGGGTATTATTAACTGTTTATATTTTTAAGTAATTTATTCATGTTTTTTAAAGCTCAATGCGCAATGCATGAGCTTTAGGGATGTATTTCCCCACCAATATCAAGAGCAAATCTACACCCTTGTTTTAATATTTGTAAAATA